CACCGCCTTAGAATGTGCCGTGTTCATTAAAATATTTATAAACGACACTTCCTCAGCAAATATTACAAGGTGTTGTGCAGCATAAATACACAACCCAACAAGAACAACATTGGTAAAGACATCAGCGGTGCGTCTGTGGGGGGCGAAAAACAAAACCCATGTTGCCAACACCTGTCTGAACAGTTCTGTTTTCCAAAGACAGTTTGAAAGAGCACAGAGAAGACCTCTCTTGGCTAAGAAATTGACAGGCGGGTCTCCTACTTAAGCCCCTTTCCACTGTAAAAGCTGAGCAAACTTCAGGGGCAAAGGGACAAAGTGATCCTTCCGTGATGATGATGATGATGATGATGATATTTATTTAAACCCCAACTTTTTCCCCTGACAGGCATTCAAGGCGGCTTACAGATCGAAACCAGAACCATCTAAAAACATAGGGAAAGAAACAATCAAACACGGATATAATTTTATCATATTATATTATATATATAGGGGGACACGGTTGGCACTGTGGGTTAGACCACAGAGCCTAGGACTTGCTGATCAGAAAGTCGGCGGTTCGAATCCCCGTGACGGGGTGAGCTCCCGTTGCTCGGTCCCTGCTCCTGCCCACCTAGCAGTTCAAAAGCACGTCAAAGTGCAAGTAGATAAATAGGTACCACTCCGGCTGGAAGGTAAACGGTGTTTCCGTATGCTGCTCTGGTTCGCCAGAAGCAGTTTAGTCATGCTGGCTACATGACCCGGAAGCTGTACGCCGGCTCCCTCGGCCAGTAAAGCGAGATGAGCGCCACAACCCCAGAGTCGGCCATGACTGGACCTAATGGACTAAGACCCTTTACCTTTACCTATTAGATATAGATATAGATATAGATATAGATATAGATATAGATATAGATATAGATATAGATATAGATATAGATATAGATATATAGTACACACACACACCTCTCATAGAAATAATTACAATAAAAACAAGAACACCTCTGCCTTGTCTGGATTAATGACTCAGCTACACAGCTGCAAATATAATGTTTTAAGTGTGTTTTTAAGCGCATTATAGAAACGGGACACTAGATGGTGATGGTGAGCTGAAGGCAAATTCAATAAATTCAATAAATTTCAAAGGTGAACCTACCCAATTCATACTTTCATGAAATGAAACACAGCCGCCCTTTGAAGTTTGCACTTTCCCGCCCTTTGAAATCCACACAGATTTTGTAGCGCTGTTCTCCTGCCAAGTAATGTGTACCGAAATGCAAAGACTGGGGGGTGAAAGGTGAATTGAAATGCGTGCATTAGGGGATGGTGTGCATGGAACTGCGTCTGTAGTGAAACCACGTGCAAAAGCGCATCGTATTAGGGAAAATAGCTTTGCAAAAGCGTGTTCTCTCCAAATGAAAGAGAACTAAACTTTGGAAGGGGGAATAAGAAACTAAAAGAAACATTCCCGAAAATGTATACATTCCCAAAAAAACCGGAGGCTTTTTTATTAGGGATAATAGGGGAGGAAGTAAAAAAGGAGGATCATAAATTATTCCAATATGCTACAGCAGCAGCTAGGATCCTTGTGGCTCAAAAGTGGAAATTACAGGAGACCCCAATGGTACTGTAATGGAATGGCAGGCTGAACTTTTTGAGTGTACAGAATTAGCTAAAATGACTTATAAAATTCGAGAGCAAAAAGGGACAAAGTTTGAAGAAGAGTGGGGAAAATTTGTTGCATACATAAGAATTAACTGTAGAAGTTTAAAAACTGTAGCAGGGTTAACATAAATCCTGTGAAGTGTATAGAAGGTGAATAAGAACCTGCAAGAGAAGATATATATTAAGAAAACCAAAGCAGGGAAGGAAGGAAGTCTGGGCGTGAATATACGCAGAGTAAATAAGATGACATAAAATGATGACTGTAAAAGACGGTTTTATTTTTGTTTGTGAAAAACTCGATAAAAAGCGTTTTTTTAAAAAAAAGAAACTAAAAGAAACCAAAGCTGATGGATTCACTACCTCCTTACGTGTTAAATGCTTCTTAAATTGAGCTGTGATTTCTGCATGGCCTTTGGGGTCCACCATTCTTTGATTCTAAATAATGCTTTACTTGTGGGGAGTAACTGGGCTCCCTTGGAACATGGGAGTATCAGTTTTGTGGGGCTGAAACACGAAACTGGCAATGGGGGGGAGGGGGGAAGGTCCTGTCATTTGGGATTATCTGGTCAGTGAGAGATCAGGAGGGGGGAATCAAAAGAGCTTCTTGTCTTATGACACAGACAGCTGACCAACCTGTTGGCTCTCAACAACTGGCGCGTGCATCTGTCTGTCGGAAACCGATGTGCAAATGTTCTCCCTAATCCTCTTTTCCACAGGCGAGCTAACCACCCTCTGCCCCATCACACCTTGTCATTCTGCAAAAACAGGTGCTGCAGCTTGAAACCAAACTATTCAGAACTTCCCCTGGGGCTTCCTTTTCATTTCGTTTCTAGCGGAGACATTTGGGTGGGGGGATGGAGCTCTCAAAGCAAAACCGGATTAATTTGGGTGAGATGCCTTGCTTCAGCTAGACCTTGGGAAGTTCATTTTTGGAAGGAACTAATGCCATACCTTGGACGCGGGTGGCGCTGTGGGTTAAACCACAGAGCCTAGGGCTTGCCGATCAGAAAGGTCGGCGGTTCGAATCACCACGACGGGGTGAGCTCCCGTTGCTCGGTCCCTGCTCCTGCCAACCTAGCAGTTCGAAAGCACATCAGAGTGCAAGTAGATAAATAGGTACCACTCCAGCGGGAAGATAAACGGCATTTCCGTGCGCTGCTCTGGTTCGCCAGAAGTGGCTTAGTCCTGCTGGCCACATGACCCGGAAGCTGTACGCCGGCTCCCTCGGCCAGTAAAGCGAGATGAGCGCTGCAACCCCAGAGTCGTCTGCGACTGGACCTAAGGTCAGGGGTCCCTTTAACTTTTACTGCCATACCTTGGTTCTCGAATGCCTTGGCACTCAGACGTTTTGTCTCCCGAAGGCCACAAACCCGGAAGTGAGGGTTCCAGTTTGTGAGTGTTTTTGGGACGCCGAACGTCCGACGTGGTTTACACGGCTTCCAACTGAGTGCAGGAAGCTCCTGCAGCCAATCAGAAGCCGTGCCTTGGTTTTTGAACCGTCTCGGGAGTCGAACGGACTCCCGGAATGGATTAAGTTTGACAACCAAGGTACAACTGTAGTTCAAGTTCAACGTGTCCAAACTGATTCCAGTTTACATTCAACCCTTTACTAAATGAGCTGGTCCGGTTGCCCATCAGTTCAAATGACCCTTGGCCAGCATTCGGAACGCTCTGAGCTGTGGTGCCGAAGCAGTAAAGTTGCTTAAGAAGACTAAGCAAATATCAAAATGGTGCGGTGTGATTTGTTAAATTTATTTCCCCCTAAAATTATTATATTGAAGATGAAAGCACCAAAGGGTCTAAACCAGGGGATGTCAACCTAGTCCCTACCGCCTACTAGTGGGCGTTTCAGGATTCTATGGGGGCGGTAGGGGGTCTATGGCACAAGGCGAATCCTCCTTCCATCGAACACTGGTAAGGAAATTATACCATCAAGAAAGATGCATTAGTGGGCGGTAGGTATAAGAAGGTTGACTAGGTAAAAGTAAAGGGACCCCTGGCCATTAGGCCCAGTGGTGACCGACTCTGGGGTTGCGGCACTCATCTCGCTTTATTGGCCGAGGGAGCCGGCATACAGCTCGGTCATGTGGCCAGCATGACTAAGCCGCTTCTGGCGAACCAAAGCAGCGCACGGAAACGCTGTTTACCTTCCTGCCGGAGCGGTACCTATTTATCTACTTGCACTTCGCTTTCAAACTGCTAGGTTGGCAGGAGCAGGAACTGAGTAATAGGAGCTCACCCCGTCGTGGGGATTCAAACCGCCGACCTTCTGATCGGCAAGTCCTAGGCTCTGTGGTTTAACCCACAGCGCCACCCGCGTCCCAAGAAGGTTGACTACCGCTGGTCTAAATAAATATATAGAAGAGAATCAGGGCTGGCCAGCCGGCCCATGAGGCAACCTGAAGCAGAATCTCGCGGGACAGTGTTCTCTCCCGTAGACACCCTGCCCATGCCTGCTGCCAGACTTGCGTGGGTGTGGCAACTGTGGATCCTGGCGTGATCTTGTAGAACCGTCCCAAGATCTCCCTGCAATCTGCCAACTGCAGGAGGCGTCACCTTCCTGTTTCACCTCGGACGGTAAAACAGGCCCCCCTCCCTGAAGATGGAACTAAAAATATTTCAAAGGTCTGCCGTTAAAAAAACCCATCATTCACATTCCCTTTATCCTAGAGTCCTGGTAGCTGCAGTACTTTCAAGTGTAGCTCAGAAATTTATAGACGGGTCTGAGCTGGTTTGAGAGGACGCGGGTGGCGCTGTCGGTTAAACCACAGAGCCTAGGACTTGCTGATCAGAAGGTCAGCGGTTCGAATCCCCGCGACAGGGTGAGCTCCCGTTGCTCGGTCCCTGCTCCTGCCAACCTAGCAGTTCGAAAGCACGTCAAAGTGCAAGTAGATAAATAGGTACCACTCGGGTGGGAAGGTAAACGGCGTTTCCGTGCACTGCTCTGGTTTGCCAGAAGCAGCTTAGTCCTGCTGGCCACATGACCCGGAAGCTGGACGCCGGCTCCATTGACCAATAAAGTGAGATGAGCGCCGCAACCCCAGAGTCGTCCGTGACTGGACCTAATGGTCAGGGGTCCCTTTACCTTTACCTGAGCTGGTTTGGGGAGCATCCGTGCAAGATCCAGATGTGTGGGGGAAATTTCTGGAGGATGAGAGAACAATGCACCCCTTTTCCCGCCTGTGAGCTACCACCTCCCTCCCTCCCTTGGTCATGCCATCCCTCTGGTCCTCTGATTCTGCCCCACTGCCTCCCATGCGTTTTATCGGGGCTCAGTGCACCACGGGTTGTTATCGACACGGACCACAACACACACAGCTAATGGCTTAACGTTATTCTGTCATCTTGAACCCTTGCAGGTGTGAGTCGTGCTCCGAGAGGAGACGATGAGGCCCGCCTGTCTGCCGCTCGTCCTACTTTTCCTGCTGAAGGGGGAAACTCACGCACTCTTCCCCGAAGAGCCTGGTCCCATCAGTGTGGCCCTTGACGACTGTAAGTGAGGCTGGGACAGGATGTGGTCGGAGGAGGAGGGAGCTGGGCTGGTGCTTCTTCAAAAGGGAGGGCTAGCCTAATTCCCTCTGCCATCCCCCCCCAAAAATATTTTTCATTCTCGCCAAGGGTTGGGGAATCTGTGGGGCCCATTAAAAGAAGTCATGGAAGTCCAGCTCTCAACCTGTTATCGTCAGTGGTCGGAGGGCCTTCCTTGTTCCCCAAACAATGTGTGCAGTTTTAGAATCATAGAATCATAGAGTTGGAATAGACCACAAGGGCCATCGAGTCCAACCCCCTGCCAAGCAGGAAACACCATCAGAGCACTCCTGACTTCAAGCCTCTGCTTAAAGACCTCCAAAGAAGGAGACTCCACCACACTCCTTGGCAGCAAATTCCACTGTCGAACAGCTCTTACTGTCAGGAAGTTCTTCCTAATGTTTAGGTGGAATCTTCTTTCTTGTAGTTTGGATCCATTGCTCCGTGTCCGCTTCTCTGGAGCAGCAGAAAACAACCTTTCTCCCTCCTCTATATGACATCCTTTTATATATTGGAACATGGCTATCATATCACCCCTTAACCTCCTCTTCTCCAGGCTAAACATGCCCAGCTCCCTTAGCCGTTCCTCATAAGGCATCGTTTCCAGGCCTTTGACCATTTTGGTTGCCCTCCTCTGGACACGTTCCAGTTTGTCAGTGTCCTTCTATTTCTCACCTAAACACCTCCCATCTGGCCGGGCCTCCCCAGTCACTCTGGGCAGCTCCCAACAGAATATTAAAAACACGATAAAAGATCAAACATTAAAAACTTCCCTAAACAAGGCTGCCTTCAGATGTCTTCTAAAAGTCAGACAGTTGTTTATTTCCTTGACATCTGATGGGAGGGCGTTCCACAGGGCGGGTGCCACCACCGAGAAGGCCCTCTGCCTGGTTCCCTGTAACCTCACTTCTCGCAGGGAGGGAACCGCCAGAAGGCCCTCGGAGCTGGACCTCAGGTTCCGGGATGGACGATGGGGGTGGAGACGCTCCTTCAGGTATACTGGGCCGAGGCCATTTAGGGCTTTAAAGCTCAGCACCAACGCTTTGACTTGTGCTCCGAAATGTCCTGGGAGCCAATGTAGGTATTTCAGGACCGGTGTTATGTGGTCCCGGCAGCCGCTCCCAGTCACCAGTCTAGCTGCCGCATTCTGGATTAATTGCAGTTTTCGGGTCACCTTCAAAGGTGGCCCCACGTAGAGCGCATTGCAGTAGTCCAAGCCGGAGATAACCAGAGCATGCACCACTCTGGCCAGACAGTCTAGTGTTATGAGAGAGGGAGAAATTCTTTTCTCTTTCCACTTTCTACACGCCCAGCATAATTTTGTAAACTTACTCACCTTTTCACTGAACGAAAAACTCCCAAATTCTGCACCCTTTCACCCTGGAGGGGTTGCCCCAACCCTGTGATAATTACGCTGGCCCTTTTCTGAACGCTTTTCAATCTTCGATGTCCTTTTTTGAGGTCAGGCGGCCAGGACTGCACACAGCACTCCACATGTGGTACGTCTGTCATGTTATGCTTGATCTGACATTCCTTGTATTCTAGGGGGTTGGACTAAATGAGTCTGAGGTGTCCCTTGCAACTCTAATGTCCCATCCCATTCTATTCAATTTGCATCATGGATGAGAGATGGGAATTGGAATTGGAAAGAAAGAATTTAAGTTAAAAGCATATGCCGACGACTTAGTCTTATCTCTGGAAGAACCAGTGGACAGTGTTAGCAAGGTGATAGAACTATTAGAGGAATTCGGCAGACTGTCAGGGTTCAGACTAAATAGGAAGAAGACAAAAATCTTAATAAAGAATTTGACCACGGAGGACAAAACTCAATTGGAACAAAGAACCGGTATAAAAATTGTGAATAAGGTAAAATATTTGGGAATTTGGCTGTCTCCAAAAAATATAAATTTGGTAGAAGATAATTATGATAGGATTTGGCAGGAAATAAAAAAAGATCTGGACATCTGGCAGAGGCTGAAGCTCTCATGGACGGGGAGGATTGCGGCGATTAAAATGTGCATCCTCCCAAGATTATTATTTCTGTTCCAAAATATTCCGATAATTAAAGGCACCACCCGTTTTAGGAACTGGCAAAGAATTATGACTAAGTTCATTTGGCAGGGGAAGAGAGCTAGGATAAGGCTTAAATACTTGACAGATGCAAGAGAGAGGGGCGGATTTGCAGTACCGAATATTAGGTTATATTATGAGGCAGCTTGTTTAAGCTGGTTAAAGGAATGGGCCACCCTTAGGAACACTGATCTATTGGACTTGGAGGGTTTTGATATTAGGTTCGGGTGGCACGCCTATCTGTGGCAGGGGAAAGGTGAGATTCATAGAGGGTTCTCTAATCACATAATCAGAGGTTCACTATTGGAGGTGTGGAACAGATATAAAAAACTGATTGAAGAAAGGACCCCTTGGTGGCTCTCTCCAGTGGATATTGTTAAAATAAAAAAACCGAATATGATGGGAGAAAGATGGACCTATGAGGACCTCTTAACTAAGACAGAAGAAGGCTGGAAGGTGAAACCTTATGACGAGTTGAAAGAAAAGATAAAAGAATGGTTCCACCACCACCAGATTAATGCACTGTGGAGTGAGCACAAGAAACAGGGGATGAGTGATAAAAAATCAAGATTCCAGATAGAAATCCTAGAGAGTAACGATAAACACCTCTCTAAATTATATAAACAACTATTAGAGTGGGATACTAGCGAGGATATGGTGAAGGGCGTGATGGTGAAGTGGGACAGGGATCTTGGATATAATATTGATTATAGTAAATGGCAGACACTCTGGAGGAAGGGGATAAAATTTACTGCGTGCGCAACCCTCCGAGAAAACTTAGAGAAAATGATATACCGCTGGTATCTGACCCCAGTAAAGTTAGGCAAGATGTATAAAACTGTTGATAATAGCTGTTGGAGATGCAAAGAGAAGGTTGGGACTTTTTTCCACATTTGGTGGACCTGTGAGGCAGTGAAGGAATTCTGGGGAAAGATCTATGATGAACTGAAAAAAATTTTAAAATATAATTTCCCCAAGATACCTGAGTTGTTTCTTTTAGGTATGATTGGCAAGGAAATAAAAAAACCAGATCAAATCTTTTTCCAATATGCGACTACTGCGGCGAGAATTCTAATTGCACAAAACTGGAAATCCCCTGATATGCCTACGGTTGGAGAGTGGCAAGTGAAATTATATCAATACATAGAATTAGCGAGATTAACACAGAAATTAAGGCAAAATAACTCTACGAAACTTAAAGATGAATGGAAGAAATTTTTAATTTATGTTGAGAACAATGTGGGTATTAGTAATATCACAGCAGAAGATGATTGATACCTCCGATGTTAAGTGTTATTGTAGGTTATACTGCAAATATTCTTTTATGATTGTGTAACCCTGGATCAAGTTGAACGGAAGTCTGTCTTCTGTTTTGTTCTTTCGTGTTTTTCCTTTCTTTTGTTTTTTCTTTTCTTTCTTTCTTGTTTTTCTTCTTTTTTTCTTTCTTTCTTTTTTGCGGATTCGCAATCTCGTAATTTGCTTATTTTCTTTCCCTTTTTGTATACCTTTTAATGACATGCATATGTGCTCTGGGAGTCTGATATGTAATGTGAATCTTTTTTCTAATAAAGCTATATATTTAAAAAAAAAAAAAAAAAAAAAAAAAGAGAGAGATGGGACCTCCTTTGTGTCGGTGAAGGCGCCTGTTCTGAAAGGCACTTTTTAAAATTATTCCGACAGCTTTTGTTTTTATGAGGTGGACAGTGGGTTTCATTCAATGCGAGTCCTTCTCAGAGGTCTGTTAATTCCAATGGGTCTATTCCAGCCGTAGGCAAACTCGGCCCTCCGGCTGTTTTGGGACTACAACTCCCATCATCCCTAGCTAACAGGACCAGTGGTCAGGGATGATGGGAGTTGTAGTCCCAAAACATCTGGAGGGCCGAGTTTGCCTTTGCCTGGTCTCTCCTGGTCTGCCCCGCAGAGGACCTTAAGGTCCACGAATAACCATAGTTTAGAGGTCCCGGGCCCTAAGGAAGTCAGACTGTCCTCCACCAGGGCCAGGGCATTCTCAGTGGTGGCTCCGATCTGGTGGAATGCTCTGTCCCATGAGACCAGGGCCCTGCAGGATTTAACCTCTTTCCGTCAGGCCTGTAAGACAGGGCTATTCCGCCTGGCCTTTAATTTGAATTCAGCCTGATCTTTTATTTCCCTTCTCTTCCCTCCCCCTCCCCTTTTATGAAGATCACCCGCTCTGAGACCCCACAGCTCATTCTCCCCTGGCCTCCTCGCTGGCCCAAGTAGGACCAATTCAGCCAGCTAGCCCTGGGGATTATCTAATTGATTTTTGAATGTTATTGTTATTCATGTTTTTATGCTTCTTTTATAATTAAGTGCTTTAAATTTGTTGTTAGCCGCCCTGAGCCCGGTTTTTGAACCAGGAAGGGCGAGGTATAAATAAAAATTTGTTGTTATTATTATTATTATTTATCTACTGACCCTGATCTCTAGTATCTGTACACTTTACTAGGACGTATCTGCACCATACATTTAACGCACATGACTTCCCCCAAGGAATCCTGGGAACTGTCGTATGTTAAGGTTGGTGACTTCTACAGCTCTGTGAGGGTGCACTCTATAGCTCCCAGAATCCTTTGAGGGAAGCCACATGCACCGAATGTGCTTCGGCTGCATGGTGTGGCTGTGGACCCGGTTTCCACTGGAAGAGCGATCTTCAAATGCGCGAACACATAAACGTAAATAAACTTCTCCAACTTCCCCTTGACCTTCTCTCGCTTTCCCCCAGATGTGAAGCATTACCCGGTCTTCGTGGGCAACGGGATGGGCCGGTTTTCCAGCCAAGATGGCGGCGCAGAGCGCCTCAGGATCCAACGAATGTTGACGTTCAACAGGACTTTGTACATAGGAGACAGGTAACCCCATACAACCCAGCCATATGGGCATGTTAAGATGTCCCTGGCGTCCCTATAGCATTCGGAAGCTCAGTGCATGATTTAGAAACGGGGACCGTGGTTATTCGGCAAAGGCAAGAGGGACTTATTCCCTTCTAAAAACTGAGAGTTACAATATGAATTGCCTATGGTGGACGCGGGTGGCGCTGTGGGTTAAACCAATTTCTTGGTTTACTATTTGTGAATACCGAGATTGTAACGCTTCAATTTCCTTTTGAATCTGTTGATTTTTTGGGTTACATGTCATTTCTTTCTCTTTCTCCTTTAACTGAGACAGAATTTTTTTCCTTTTGCTCATTCTACTATTTCTTCCTGATAGAGTTCTGTTGAATCAAAAAACCTCGCATTACCGCTTTAATTGCATCCCATACGACCCTTGCTTCAATTCCAGGATTGAGGTTCAACTCAAAATAGTCCTTTAGGGTCTTTTGAACTTTATTTACAATCAAATCATTTCTCAGCAAAGCGTCATTCATCCTCCATCTAAAAGAACCCTGTAGATGATCCCTATCTTTAACTCTGAACAAAATGCTTGTTTAACCTGGAGGTAGGCTGTCTGGACGCGAGTGGCGCTGTGGGTTAAACCTCAGATCCTAGGACTTGCTGATCAGAAGATCGGCGGTTTGAATCCCCATGATGGGGTGAGCTCCCGTTGCTCAGTCCCTGCTCCTGCCAACCTAGCAGTTCGAAAGCACATCAAAAGTACAAGTAGATAAATAGGTACCACTCCGGTGGGAAGGTAAACGGCGTTTCCGTGCACTGCTCTGGTTCACCAGAAGTGGCTTAGTCCTGCTGGCCACATGACCCAGAAGCTGTACGCCGGCTCCCTCGGCCAATAAAGCGAAATGAGCGCCGCAACCCCAGAGTTGGTCACGACTGGACCTCATGGTCAGGGGTCCCTTTACGCTTTACCTTATGGTGGAATAATACCCTCCTAGCATCCCAGTTTTCCAGGGACAGTCCTGGAATTACGAAAAGCCATCCCAGCTTCCGGTCTGATCCCAGAATGTCCCTATTTGCCGGCCCGTCCATGAGAAGGGAAAGGCACTCTGCACATGTTCAAAGGCACTCTCTCCTCGGTGACCCCCGCAGGTCTAACCATCTGCAATGTGAGGCTCCTGTGCCTTTAAGAGTAGCGTCAAATATTTGCTGGAGGAGCCAAAGCGGGGTGGAAGCGGAGACATAATACAAAGGGGGTGCAGAGTTGCCTAGCTTGCGGACTGCTGCATCGCCATAGCAACCTGAAATCCACAGGAAGAGCACAGCAGAGAAAGCAGGATAAATTAAGAATGGCGAGGCCGGGTTAAGGCACTCTGCCTGATAGATTTCGGCGTGCTCCGCAAACCGCTGCCTTGCCTAATTTCAGAGTTGCGCGGCCTTCCCAGAATGAGGTCTAGCGCCTTGTCGCGAGGCATATAGCAAAGTGGCGGTTTCTACCCTGCCCTGCGCTCACCTTGCTTTGCCTGTCATGGGGTCGTCTGCCTTGGGGCAGGGGCCTAGTAGGAATTTTGCCATTTGGCTGATTGGCTGGTGCCACTTGGTTTTTGCCTAAAAGGTAAAGGTACCCCTGCCCGTACGGGCCAGTCGTGTCCGACTCTAGGGTTGTGCGCCCATCTCACTTAAGAGGCCGGGGGCTAGCGCTGTCCGGAGACACTTCCGGGTCACGTGGCCAGCGTGACGAAGCTGCATCTGGCGAGCCAGCGCAGCACACGGAAACGCCGTTTACCTTCCCGCCAGTAAGCGGTCCCTATTTATCTACTTGCACCCAGGGGTGCTTTCGAACTGCTAGGTTGGTTTTTGCCTACTACTTAGCAATTTGTCACAACTTGTAAGGTTGCGGTTAGTTATTGGTTATAATATGCTGGTGGTGGAGGGGTCAGGATAGGCTGTGCCTGCCCCTCCAATGGCGCTGGAAGGGAATTCCGTTAAAGGAATCCTGGGGCTTGCCACGATTTCGTCCAATCCCTGAAATGGGACCAGGGCCGGCAAGCCTTGGGGAGCTGGTTGGGTGAGCGGTGAGGGACTGGTGCTCAGCTCAACTGATCCCCAACATTGTCTTTCCCTTCACTGGCTTCCGATGGAGTTTGGAATGTCAGTCCTGTCCCAGGCCGGGGGGGGGGGCAGATAGTCATAACCAATGTCTAAGCAACCACTCACAGATTTTGTATTTTAATAAATCTGTGGCCAAAATAGTGCCCAAAAACCTTAAACTTAAATTACGTATGATGTGTGAATTATTTTGAGGGGTGGCTTGGCAGGGGGTTGGACTCGATGGCCCTTGTGGTCTATTCCAACTCTATGATTCTATGATTCTATGACCTACACAGGGACGCGGGTGGCGCTGTGGGTAAAACCTCAGCGCCTAGGACTTGCCGATCACATGGTCGGCGGTTCGAATCCCCGTGGCGGGGTGCGCTCCTGCTGCTCGGTCCCAGCGCCTGCCAACCTAGCAGTTCGAAAGCACCCCCGGGTGCAAGTAGAGAAATAGGGACCGCTTACCAGCGGGAAGGTAAACGGCGTTCCGTGTGCTGCGCTGGCTCGCCAGATGCAGCTTGTCATGCTGGCCACGTGACCCGGAAGTGTCTGCGGACAGCACTGGCTCCCGGCCGCTACAGTGGTGCCTCGCAAGACGAAAAGAATCCGTTCCGCGATTCTCTTCGTCTAGCAGTTTTTTCGTCTTGCGAAGCAACCCTATTAGCGGCTTAGCGGATTAGCGCTATTAGCGGTTTAGCGGCTTAGCGGCTATTAAAGGCTTTGCGGCTTAGCTGCTAAAAGGCTATTAGCGGCTTAGCGGCTTAGAAAAAGGGGGGAGCGGAAAAAAATCGCAAGACTTGCAAGGAAAATCGTCTTGCGAAGCAACTCAAAAACGGAAAACCCTTTCGTCTAGCGGGTTTTCCGTCTTGCGAGGCATTCGTCTTGCGGGGCACCACTGTAGAGTGAGATGAGCGCACAACCCTAGAGTCTGGCAAGACTGGCCCGTACGGGCAGGGGTACCTTTACCTATGACCTACACAAGCAAATTCACCTTGCAACGTTCACAGTGGCCGCAACTAAAGTGGCAACTAAAGCAATGAATTCATCAGATTCGGACAAAGCCTATTCAGAGCGACTCGTGAGTCAGGTGAGTCAGGGTCAGTCACCAACAGATCGCTGCAGGTGTGGTGGGATGGGCCAGCCCAATCCATGACCGTCAGGAGACAGGACATCTTCAAATATAGGATTCCCCTATTTCAAGAAGAGAAAACCCGGGCACAAATGATGAGCTTTTTTTTTTTTACCCAAAGTTGTGAAATGTTTTTTTTAAAAAAAGAGTTTTTGAGCTATTTTCAATAAAATTCTAATGGCATGGGCTGCCATGCATCCAGATTTCCCCGGACATTTCAGCGATTTCCGCCTGGACTCTGTTAGAGGTAAAGGGACCCCTGACCATTAGGTCCAGTCGTGACCGACTCTGGGGTTGCGGCGCTCATCTCGCTTTACTGGCTGAGGGAGCCGGCGTACAGCTTCCAGGTCATGTGGCCAGCAGGACTAAGCCGCTTCTGGCGAACCAGAGCAGCACATGGAAACGCTGTTTACCTTCCCGCCAGAGCGGTACCTATTTATCTACTTGCACTTTGGCATGCTTTCGAACTGCTAGGTTGGCAGGACCAGGGACCGAGCAACGGGAGCTCACCCCGTCGCGGGGATTCGAACCGCCGACCTTCTGATCGGCAAGCCTAGAGGCTCTGTGGTTTAACCCACAGCGCCACCCGCGTCTCTATGGACGCTGTTGATAAGGGCTGAATACTGGCTATGTCTGGGAAATTCCAGGCATATGGCAACCCTAATATAGCCAGATTCAAATACAGGCTGTTACGTGGATTGTTTGTTTTGTTTGTTTTGTTTGTTGTTTGTCAGTCCCTTTACCTTGCCCAGGGAAGCTCAAAGCAGCTTGTGACCAAAGAAACAAACCAAAACAACAACAACCCCACATTAAAATCAAGGGAGGAGAGAAATAAATATTTAAAACCCCAACTTCTAAAAGGCTGCAGATAGTTAAAGGCCTGTTTACGGAGGAATGTTTTCGCCTGGCAACTAAAGATATGTAATGAAGGCGCCAGGCAGGCCTGCCTGGGGAGAGCATTCCTCAAACAGGGAGCCACCACAGAAAAGGCCCTGTTGTCGTGTTGCCACCCTCGGGACCACTCATGGAGCTGGCTCACAAAGAAGGGTCTCAGATGATGCTCCCAGGGTCCAGGTTGGTTCATGTGCGGAGAGGCGGTTCTTGACGTACTATGAGGTCCTGGACCACTGATGGAGCAAGCTCATTTTCTGCTGCTCCACAGGGTACGGCCCAAACCAATGGATTCAAATGACAAAGAAGGGCAGTCCAATAATTTATTATTTACACCCAGCCCACCTGGCTCGGTTTCCCCAACCACTCCAACATAATAAGAAAGCGATAAAACATTAAACATTAAAAGCTTCCCTAAACAGGGCTGCCTTCGGATGTCTTCTAAAAGTCAGGTAGTTGTTTATTTCCTTGACATCTGATGGGAGGGTGTTCCACAGGGCGGGTGCCACCACCAAGAAGGCCCTCTGCCTGGTTCCCTGCAACCTCACTTCTCGCAGGGAGGGAACCGCCAGAAGGCCTTCGGAGCTGGAACTCAGTGTCCGGGCTGAACAATGGGGGTGGGGACGCTCCTTCAGGTATACTGGGCCGAGGCCGTTTAGGGCTTTAAAGATCAGCACCAACACTTTGAATTGTGCTCGGAAACGTACTGGGAGCCAATGTAGGTCTTTCAGGACCAGTGTTATATGGTCTCAGCGGCCGCTCCCAGTCCCCAGTCTAGCTGCCACATTCTGGATTAGTTGTAGTTTCCATTGGGTGGGCTGGCTCTTGAATGCTCATCTTGCATCGCAGTTTTAGATGCTTCGGGGTGGTATCCGCACCCCCACCCCAATAAAGCGCTACATCACCT